AGCCAAGGAGTCTCTAGGGCCGAAGCCCGACCAAACTCAACTCGGGCCTTCGGCCCGAGCTATACTCCAAGTTCGGGGACGAGGAGGAAAAACTCAGCTCGAGCCGAAGCCCGATCTGAGCACTCCAAGGCTGAAAGCCAAGGAGTCTCTAGGGCCGAAGCCCGACCAAACTCAACTCGGGCCTTCGGCCCGAGCTATACTCCAAGTCCGGGGACGAGGAGGAAAAAACTCAGCTCGAGCCGAAGCCCGAGCTGAGCACTCCAAGGCTGAAAGCCAAGGAGTCTCTAGGGCCGAAGCCCGACCAAACTCAACTCGGGCCTTCGGCCCGAGCTATACTCCAGGTCCGGGGACGAGGAGGAAAAAACTCAGCTCGAGTTGAGAAAAAAAAAACACCGAGCTGAGCACTCCAAGGCTGAACACCAGGGAGTCTCTAGGGCCGTAGCCCGAACAAATCACTCGGGCCTTCGGCCCGAGTTCGGCTCATTTTTAACCGCGCCTCCAGACAAGCCGGAGTTAGCAAATCCAGTGAGCACATTTATTGTGCACATTACCGGATTTCCCAGCACGCACGACGTGGACGTTTGCGGTAGATCAATGAGAACTTGCGTGCCTACCTCCACCCATTAGGGCTTCACCGGCAAATCGCCATAGCCTATTGCCGAGACTCTCAGACATCCAACCGAAAGGAAGCAGGTTATGGCTGCCCGCAAATAAAATACTCTGGCGTGAGTAGATTAGTTGCCTTCCATTGAACGCTGAGTGGCGAAAAACTCAGACATCCAAACGGAAGGAAGCAGGTTATGGCTGCCCGCAAATAAAATACTCTGGCGTGAATAGATTATTTGCCTTCCGATGAATGCTGAGTTATTTTTTGAACCCATGCACCACACCATCCACTTCAACTGGGTGTTTTAATAATATGACGCAAGGAGGCAGGTACAGGCTGCCCTCAGATAGATTAGTTCTAGCACAACTTAACTATCTGCCTTTTGTCATATTGGTCACGACGGTCTAAACCCAGCTCAAGTGTAATATTCTCACCATCTTTCGAAACAAAAAAAAGTTAAAAAAGGGCTGGCGTCCTCACTTAAGAGGCTCATTAAGTCTTAAACTCAAAAGAGTCCTAACATGTCACCTCACATTCAGCCACGGACGTTAACGACTGAATCAGCAACACCTAGACACCAGAGACAGCCGTTGCACAACAAAAGTTGCGATTCAAATTTGATCATTACATAAAGTAATGATCCAGCAGTAGGATTACCTAAAGCTACATTGTTTGTTACAGTATTCGATAATCACCATCTTTCGATAAATGGGTTACAGCTGTTGGACACCGGAGACAGCCGTTACACAACAAAAGTTGCGCATTCAAGTTGGATCATACACAGAGCAATGATCCAGCAGTAAGATCATGACAGAGCAATGATCCTACAGCTATATTACAGGGACGTAATCAATACGAGCTGATGACTCGCACCTACTCGATTCCAACCACGGCAACACTCAATGGCGAACCCACCCATTACATCAATAATATTTCAATGTCCGTGCCGAGTGAGTTGCTCCGTGTTGGACCGTGTTTACGAGGACGCTTAGTCCCTACACTAAATCTCAACTATTCACTTCACAAATACAGCCGAAAGGCAACTATCCTGTGTTAGTTTTTCGCCTATTAGCGAATTCACCGGATAAAATTTTCCAGATAGCCGGGGTAACCCAGCCTTGGTTACACAACATTTTGTTGCGATTCAAGTTTGAACATCACATAAAGTAATGATCCAGCAGTAGGTTCACCTACAGCTACTTCTAGAGCCAATTCTTTACAAGTTGAGACGGATAACCAAGACGGCCATCAAAGTTAAACACAGCCAGAAACAATTGATATCCGCAGGCATTTCGGGAGGAGGTTCGCGCAATGAGAACGCCAGTGCCGACAATCCTGAACGGCATCAAAGCTCCAATGCCTTGCTTTGTCTGTGTTTACTTTGAGGCCAGTCTTGGTCTGCAGACAGCGATCAATGCAGCACTTTTAACGGTATCCCAAGCCGTTTTATTCAATTCTAATCGTATTTTAAAGAGCAAGCTATGGTGTTTTATGCATTCAATTATAAACAATGAACAATGGATAAAGCAGACGCCATTGCTAGTATCCAAACCTGAATATTTCCATAACAAATATTCAAGCTGTTCACCGTTATATGGTCGTTGAACCATAGCTCACTCAATAAAAAATCCTCCATGCACCACCATCCACCATTTATTTCACTTAGCTCTCTATTGACAGACAGGCACCATTCATTGACTAACAGGAATGTGAATACTTGTAGGTGCTGGCTACAAATAATCACAACTGATCATATCCTGTACATACAATCAGCCCTGTAGTCCTACCTTAACTCTCTCGATCAACTGTCAATAGAGGCTTTTTCTTGTTTGAAAAGGATCCGCCTCTTTACGATTAGAATCTGAAAGGCTTCTGCAGTGGGCACTGATCGCCTTGTTATCCATCTTTCGGGTCCGAATAAAAGTAAAAAAAGTGCTGGCGTCCTCACTTAAGAGGCTCATTAAGTCTTAAACTCAAAAGAGTCCTAACATGTCACCTCACATTCAGCCACGGACGTAAACGACTGAATCAGCAACACATAGACACCAGTGACAGCCGTTACACAACATAAGTTGCGATTCAAATTTGAACATCACATAAAGTAATGATCCAGCAGTATTGTTGAGTAAATTGGGCAATAGGCCAAATATTGAAAGTGCTACATCGCTTCAACAAGAAGGATCAGCGCTATACGGTAAATTGCACAAATTGATTTCTGAGTTCCATTGTGATATTCCACGGGCATTCACGTTCGAAACGTGGTATGATAAGTACAAATCGTACTTTGAAATTGAGGGGGCCACATTGAGTGATGAAATGAAAGCAAGATTGCTTATTGCGAAATTGGGTGGCCCTGAATATTCTAAAATTGCCCAAAAATTATTGCCACGAAAATTATCAGACCTGAAATATGGGGAATTGTTAAATGAATTGAAAGAGGAGTTTAGGGACCCGAGGTCCAAATTGCTAAAGCGTTTCGATACGCTGAAATTGAAATGTAATGAATATGAAAATATATTGCAATTTGGGAACCTTGTAAATGCCGAATGTGAAAAGTCAGAAATGAATCTGACTATGGAAGAAATGAAAATATTGATTTTTATTGTAGGTCTTCCTGACTCTGCAGTAGATGTGAAACAAAATTGCATTCGGTTGATTGAAAATAAATCAAAGAAAAAAGAAGATTGTAATTTCAAGGAATTATTGGAAGATTGTCGAGGATTCTTGTCTACGAAAAAAGAAGTCAAATTGTTGTCTGAACCTAAACAGGTCAGTAAAATTGAATTGGGTTCACCACCGGAAATAAATATTATTCAGGAACCTCAATTACAACAAAAACCAAATATTGAAATTGAAAACAAGAATTGCTATTATCCACCAAAAAGGCCATATTGTAATTATTGTAAAAAAGAAGGACATTGGACTTCTTATTGCTATTTTGCTGGTAAGCGTAAATTCTCACCTAGAGTGAATAATTTGAAAATTGGTTTAGATAAGAGCAATGATGGTCCTTATTGTATATTGTTGGATATTGAAGATAATGAAGTGCTGCAAAAACAAAATTGGATTGTCCAAAAATTGAAAATAAATGGAAATTCATTAAACATGATTATTGATACAGCCGCGCAAATTTCAATTATTTCAAAGGAAACGTGGTCACAAATTGGTGAACCAAAATTGGAAGAAGTTTCCTACAATGGAATTGCGATGGGCAAAACAAAATTCAAAATTGAAGGAAAATTTGCAGCAAACATTGATTGTAATAATAAAGAAGAGTTATTGGATTGCCATGTTGTTGAAGGCAAATTGAATTTAATTGGATTACCTTGGCTTAAAAGATTGAATTTATTGAAAAATATTGTTAATGTTCCAGAAATTGAAAAGGAAAGGAAGAAAATTGTATGGAACAAACAAAAGCAAATGTCAAAACCAATTGTAAAGAAAAAACTCTGGAAAGGCAAAAATGTAATTGTGAAGAACAAGAACAAAAGAACCAACAAAATTGAATGGTTAAAAGGCGAAATTGTAGGAAAAGTTGGTCAATTGTTTAGAGTTCAAGTTCATTGCCTGAAGAGTGTAATCTTGCGGAAGATTGAAGACATTAAAGAAGATTACCAACAACCAAGAATTGAATCAAAGAATGGCTATGCTGTCAAACGTTCAGATGCGAGGCTGTACAATGAAGGCGCAACACCGAAGAAGAAAACAAAGATCTGGTCCGAAAAGTCTGAAGATAAGATGGAAAGCTGTTCTGAGGGATCATTAAATTCTGAGGGATCTGAAGATAGGATGCAGAGCTGTTCTGAGGGTTTGATAAATTCTGAGGGTTCAAATATCTCTGAAGGATCGACGATAAATAAGATATATAAAATGTTCTTTTGATTTGTAAAATTTTGTTTGTTCCCTTATTCCCTCAAATTTTTTTGTATGTATTTGTTGACCGGACTTTTGTTATTGTTTGTATGTTTTGTATTGCGGTGTTGTAACCCCAGCCTTGCAAAGGGGGAGGTGTTGTGGTGTGGTGGCTACTATAAAAGCCTCACACAATTGTCAGTCCGTGTCTCCTAATTGTCTCCAATATTATCCCAACCTTATTCTATTGCTTCAATACTATTGTTATTTCTATTGTGTGATAAACACATTATTGTATTGTGTATTTCTTGTTGTGCAGAGACACAACACCGGTGTGGTGGGATTGATGCTGGATCAAAAGCATTTAAAGCTTCAACTTCATATTCAATCTCATCGTAGTCCATTGGCTTATCGACTTTAGATTCGTCAGTCGATAAATATATTTTTTCTTTTCCTTTTATTCGTTTAAGCATATCCTCGTTAATATCCTTTACAGTATCATTATGTGGTGCTAATATTAGATTATGTATGAGCTCTTTCGGATTCGATAGAGCATTATTATTGTCCGTAACAAAGTTGATCAGTTCTTGGCGCGAGTTAACGATATTCTTTTGCTGTATTTCAACTTGGGAACTGAAAGTTCCGTTACCAATTCCACGCAACCAATCAGTGAACTGTTTCTCGTTCTGACCCTGACGCATATTTATGTTCAGAGTTAGAATATTATTCCTGAAAAGCGACCACAATGATGAAGACTGTATACAGGAATTAACTTGATCTCTCATATAACCTCCAGCAACAACTGGTAGCGATTGCTTGAAGTCCCCACTCAAAATAATAATTTTTCCGCCGAATGGACTACTTCTAAGATTTGCTGGTACTAATTGTTTACAAAGTCTGTCAATGCCCTCTAACATATGCTTTGGAAGCATAGAAACCTCATCAATTATTATTACTTGGCTGTCTTTAATACGTCTACCATGAAAACTTTGCAGTGAAACAGAAGGAGTATAATCTTCCTCAACATTTATTCCGAACCTGAATACCGAATGAACGGTAGCTCCTCCTGTTAAAAGTGTCGCTGCACAACCGGTATATGCCGAAGCAATTACGCGGATTCTCATGTCTCGTAGACGTGAAATAATAGTATTAAATAAATATGTTTTTCCAGTGCCACCGTCTCCGGTGACAAAGATAGTATTGGATGAGGCTCCTTGGAGTGCATCGTGAACTACTTGCCAAACTTTTTCCTGATCAGCATTTAATTTCGTGTCCGATTTTTTTCCGCTAGCAAACTCATCATTATCTCCAAAGAAGAAGCTATCGAGAGCTGTATCTACATTTTGTCGCATCACAGAGGATGGAGAATCAAGATTAAAATGTTCATTGGTCATAGCATAATCTGCAAGCTGAGCTTCTATATGAGCTAATGCCCGATCTATCCTTCTCATTCTTTCGTTTCCACTAGGATCATTCCCCATCACAGGGCTGAACATGTTCTCAATGAACTTTTCCCATAATTCGCGAGCATTGCTCGGATTTCCGAAGACTAATATCTGTACAAACAGGTATTGTAGCTCACGCGGACTACAGCTATGAGAGGCTTCTTCTAACGTTCTCTCCCACATACTATCGTCAGAAAGAAGTCCTCTTAAACGCGCAGCCTCTACAAAAGTCTCACAATTATAACCGTTCACTTCTTTTAATGATTCAGAATCGCCAGGAAAATGGCGGAGAAGGACATAAAGTGCAAATAGCTCTTGATTTCGAGGTGATGGTCTAGGATTGATTCGACCAATGACATTTTGTCTTTTATTAATTCTTTTCTTCCATGTCTTCTGACTTTTATCATACCAGTAATGCTCCGGCAAATGTTCGTATAAAATAGTCTTGATCAATGAGTCGTCTGCTAAAATCCACTTTTTACCAACATACTGCCACGACATTCCAGAAAAATACATTTCCCAATACTCAGAGAGCATGGTATTTGGTAGTTCATCTTCATTAATCTCTGAGTCATCTGAAAGAATCTTCGAGACAGCGGCCCGAACTTGGCCTGCTTGAAAGTAAATTTGTTGCTTCCCTGGTAAATGAAGAGGGAGCTTGTATACAGTGTGTGAAAGTCGTGCATAAGGCATAGAGTGGATTCTCGCATAAGCCTCAGTTGCTGATCTATAATACATTTGAGAATAATGTGCTGGCTCATCTATATCGACTTTGCCCCCTTCCATCCGAATGTACTGAATTGATGGACCTTTAAATGAGTATTTCATAGTATATTTCATATTTGTTTTTTCACCATAACAAAATTCAATGTTATGATGAGTTTCGTATTTTAGTAGAATGAACGGATTATAAGGTATGACGTGAGCATTGGTGTATTCGGTAAGAATCCCACCCTTTGGTAGCTCCACAGTTTCACCACCTTCTTTTGGGCTCGGTCGATAATAGACAGCTGGCTTGTCGTCAAATAAAATAGTTCTATTAGAATATTCCTTCGGGAAATATTTCGAACATTGCCCGCTGGCATTCTGTTTTCCGCACAGATCTGGTTTGCAGTCATGAAGCTGGTGTTTTAGTACAAGCTCTCGAAGGCGTCTCATAGCTACAGCACGTTGACTTTTGTCTGTATTTTTAGGCAAAGGAGGGATATGTGCCCATATATAACCTTCAATAATTTCAGGTATAGAGGGAATATCCGTTGCCATAACCCTATGAAAATGCGGTCCACCTCTTTTCTGAAATTCCATGCTTTCAGCAGAACCAATCTCCTTCCCGAGTATTGATCTGTTCTTAATATCCTTGTGAATCTCCTGGACTTTATCAGCATAGTATCGCATGATAATATCTGGTCGATCTATAAGTACTTGTCCGTTATTATACAGTTCATTTTGAAGCTCAGGCCATCTAGGATTATAAGTAAACGTTAACATAAACATGGCGCACCCTCGCTTTCGTGTACGATTTATAATTGTACAACCATCAGTATATTTTTCTTTAAAATATGGCCTAAATCCAGGCATATAACTTCTAAAAAGAACAACTTTTCCAATGTCGTCTTCTGTGTAGGGTCGCTCGCCGTGTTTAGCCCAATATTCTAATAATTCTGGCGCCACTTCGGACCTTAAATCCATAGTAGGCTTACGTAGATAATCGAAGACCTGAGCATCAATTCTAGCAGCTATATCGAGTATGAATTTTTGGCTCAACCCACCTCCTGAACTCCATATATGATGGTATTTATCATTTTCCGGGTTTCTAATACCGAAACGATACCGATAGAATGCCCTGATTGAGAGAGTTGTACGAGACCTGCTTGGTTCGTCGCCATAAATATCAACAGAGCAAGTATCGCTCGGAGCAATAGAACCTGTTTCCGATTGTTCTTCGTCACATTCATCTTGTTTTTTCGATGACCGTTTAGATAATTTTATATACGGTATCTTTGAGTCATAACCATCATCTCCAAGCAAAAACATGCATGGATAAAGAATAGAGTCAGTCATTCGGTGAGTCGGCCATAATTCGGTAACTCTTCCTTTAAGTGATATCCAAATACCTCTAAGAGGTGGTGGTTCGTCTGTATTAGATGACCAAATAGCAAAGACCGAAGATTCATTTTGGCATGGCAAATTAACCTGTCGAGGATGTAAACTCGGATCTTGAATAGCCGCAGGTGCATTTTTATCTTCGACTAGTATAACTTTGAAATTTTGAAGCATCTCAGGGTCATTTTGCTCGAGATGTTTGTAAAATTCATATGAATTTTCAAGAATTGCAGACATAGGATGATTCGTCCGTATTAATCTATCAAGAACGTCAAAAAGATAAGGATTTTTCTTTTTCCAATCATCAAAGCTAACATTATTCAGTCGATAGTTATTAGCGTCCTCGGAATCAAGAATATATAACTGATCAAAGGATGGAATTTGATGGTCTCCTGGAAGCAGGCTTCCGATTTTCCTCGAAAATTCTCCATTTAAAAGAACAGGCATTGGTCCACCAAGCGGCGCATTTTGTCGACCTACAGAAAGTGAACCAAAAGCAAATAGACTATTATATTTACTTTGATATCGAATAAATTCCTTAGACTCGTGTGATTTACCGGTCAAAAGTCTTTCATAATCATTTGGATATTCTTTAAGTGGATCAAGTCGCACTCGACCATCTGCGCAAGCTAAACATTTTTCTGATTTTAATAACTTGTTATTACAGTGCACGCAAGTTCTATCCCCTAACGAACCCGAGTTATAATACTCAGGAAGATGACCTGATTCGATAGACCCACATCTGATGCCCTGATGCTTCAAGTAACATCGTTGAGTCAGGGGAAGAACTTGATCTCCTTTCGGATCAGCAACTGTATTTTTGGATGCTCTCGGAGTAGATTGTCTCGAGGGAGCTTTATCCTTGATTTTTTTTGGTCTGCATATTTCTTGAACTGACCTTGGGTGATACTCAACATTATCACCAGAATACAATTGGTTCAAATGCCACAAGATGCGTTTCTTTTCGGTATTAATGTTTAGATGGGGCAAAGCCATATTACGGTTATTCATTAACCACGCTTCAGCATAAAGACAGATGAAATATCCGCAACTATTACCATCTTGCTGGCGCGGGTACAAATCTGTGGCATAAGTCCCAATATGTAATAAATCAACAGGAGTATTTGTCAGTTCAGAGATAATCTCCTTTAGTTTTGGCAGCCTTTGCGGATGGTAATTTACGTGATCCTCATGAAGTCTGTGTGGAATATTCGGGATAGAGTCGAAGAAATAAACTCCAAACTCAGAATCCCATATTAATAAAGTCCAATGACCTGGTAAATGCACAGGAAGAATCAGAACTTCGACTTCACGTTCTTGTTCTGTAATATATGTATAATTAATGTACGTTAAATCTGGAACTTGCTGAACAGTAGGATCCGTTATAAGTGGATCAACCACAATAGTCTTTCGGCCTGAAATTTTGGCCAGATAGCATAAATATGGAAAAATGAATGCATCATTAAGCCATGTTGAAAGGTTATTCCACATTGTTTCAATGAATCGAGGGCCTAATTTTTCAGAATCCCTCTCATAAAGTGGCATTACTGTTCGACTGCAAATGCTAGGCTCATAAGTTTTTGCCGTAGCAAATTCCAGAGTGTTCAACGTAGAAAAATCAATATTTCTCGGTCCAGTAACTGTAGGTTCGACCGTCTCAATATGCGAATGAATATCTTTTTTCTGCCTCCCTCCAACACCTTTTCGTTTTGGTGGGCCAACTTTTTTACTAGAAGATATGGATGAGATTTGTGGAATTTCAGAAAGCGACTCAAGAGATGAGGTCACACTTATCGTATCCATTGACTCGATAGATGAGTCGTGTGTTTTAGGAATTTTACGAGGAACACATGTCTCCGAAGAGATGCTCAACGGTGTGAGTGGTTCCACAAGACCTTCAATTAATTCATTATCTTCAATATCCTTTTCAGAAAACGTAAATCTGCCCGAGCTGGATGGAATGCAAGGGTTATCAGTATTAGATGTAAAGTCCTGAATAGGACTATTTTGATTGTGCGGATAAGAATAGCTATCAGACTGTTCCAGCTGCGCAGCCTGATCTGAGTCCTGACGAGGACTGTTTTGGTTTATGGTACCGGAGTACCTTTCCCTTTTTTCCTTACGCTTTTTCTTCTCCCTCGATGGCATTAGTACTAAGCTTTTTTAAAGTTGTGGGCTTGTTTCACAATGAATTTCCCAAATATTAGCTTTTCCCAATCCACTTTCACAAAAATATAACACAGATAAATATAAAAATTGGCAAAATTTTTAGTTTTCGCAAAGCATTTTCCGCGTAAAACATCTCGAAACCTTGAGTATTCGCAGTTGGCTTATCGCACATATTTACTCAAAAAGTCTTTAATCGAAAGCAATCTATAAAATTAGAGAAAAAAAGGGATTAGACAATAAAGATTTATACTTAGAAATCATTGTAGTCTAACTCATAATAATAATTAGAGAAGTATAGATTAGATAATAAGTGTCATAAATAAGGGCTTGAAATATGCACAAAAAATAGTGAAAAAGTGCTTCAAAAATAATAGTTACAGTAATCTACTAATCTAGCTATAATTTTTCATTTCATGAGATCCAACTATAATTTTGATTTCATCGTCATGGGACGCATAAATCGTCATGGGACGCATAGATATTAGTGGGACGCATAAACTGGACAACGCCTTCTTCAGTTTTGTCTGTGCGCCTTCGTCCGAGTTTTTTCTACGTGTAATTTTTATTAGCACAACAGCCTTGGTAATTCCAGCTCTTCTAACACAAAGGATTATAAATGCGGTCACGAAGCTCGTAGTTACGGGAAGCTAGTGTCTTATTCGAGACGCAACTCGTGTTTTACCAATAAAGTAACATCCGGACTTTTGTCCGGTTTAGTTTCCATCGAATTAATCCGGTTTAGTTTAGTCCGGTTTAGTTTCCATCGAATTAATTTAGAAAATTAAATCAACGTTCCAAAATTTCTCGATATGGCATTCTCCCGGGCAGCGACGGGCGGTGTATACAAAGGGCAAGGACGTAATCAACGCGAGCTGATGACTCGCATTCTTGGAATTCCTCGTTCACGGAAAATAATTGCAATTTTCGATCCCTATCACGGCAAATTTTCAATGGTTTTTTTCGTGGTCAATGGTTTCTTTCGTCCTACCAGGACATTCACGTTGATTTTGCCAGTGTAGCGCGCGTGCAGCCCCTGACATCTAAGGGCATCACAGACCTGTTATTGCTCAATTTCTTTCGGCTGAACACCGCAAATCCCTCTAAGAAGCTGTATACACTAAAAGTACCACCATCCACTGAATCACAAAAGCTATCAATCTGCCAATCCGCAGTGTCCAAGCCTGGTGAGTTTCCCCGTGTTATGTTAAATTAAGCTGCAGGCTTAATTTTTCCACTCCTGGTGGTACCCTTCCGTCAATTTTTAAATTTAGTTTGCAACCATACTTCCCCCGAAACCAAAAGACTTACGTTTCCGGGAAGCTCCACCACGCTTGCTGCCATCCATAATCCTATTGGCCATGATCGGCGGTTTGAATTTTTTCATCATTTTTTCAACCATGATATGTATATAAATAATGGTCAGTCTTTTCTTCTTCATTCAATTCACTCTTTTTACCTGTGGCACACACGGACGGACTCGGACAGAAAAACACGGACAAAAACGGATAGACAGACACTGACGGACTCAGACAGACAAAACACGGACGAACACAGACAGAATCAACTGTTGTGGTTTATCCGTGTTTCTACTGATTCTCGCAACAGCCGCGGTAATTCCAGCTCTGCTAATACACAGTCTATTCGCTGAGGTTACAAAGCTCGTAGTTACCGGAAGCTCGTGTCTTACTCGAGACAAAACTCGTGTTTTACTGATTAAGTAAGGAATCGAAAAGTTTTTTCGCCGCATTCATGAGCATTTCACAGTTTGACTCAGTTATAGCTAGACACTGCGGACACTTAGATTGTTTAGTTATAGTTTTACACTTATTCCTAGGCATTTTGACTCTTACGTACGGTGCTACACCTCTCATGATTATTCACTGAGTCAGGCTATAGTCACGCCTAAAAGTGTTTCCTTAATGTCACTATGGACACCCGTGATCCAGGCGTCGACCCTCGACTAAACTTTTAGAGGGCGCGCGTTATGGTCAGACTTTTTCCTCTGTTTACTTCCAATGAATTTTCCAATAAATTTTACTAACACGGACGTACACCGACCGACAACACACGGACGAAGACGGACAGAACCAACACGGACGGACACAGACAGACAAAACACAGAAGAAGAAGGACAGAACCAACACGTACGGACACGAATGGACGAACCACGGGCAGTCAAAGTTAGAAAGGAAAAATGAAAGGAAAAAAAAGTAAAAATGGATAGGAAAAAGTAAGGAAAAAAACGATTACCCCCTTATATGCGTATAGGGCCATCAAAACACGGATAGGCAAGTCTTTTGTTCCAAACCCTAGTTGGAACTTTTGTCTGTCCGTCTTCGCCCGTGTTTTGTCTGTCCGCCTTCGTCCGTGTTTTCTGTCCGCCGTCGTCAGAGTTTTGTCTGTCCGCCTTCGTCCGTGTTTTGTATGTCCGCCATCGTCCGTGTTTTGTCTGTCCGCCTTTTCACTGGATCGATTGCATACAACCCCATCGATTTTACTTCATTCCCAAACCCGTTCCATGAACAGGCCGTTTCGGTGCTACACTCGAGTGTGGCACCAAAATGGACATTCGCATTAAACTTTCCGGAGTCGATTACCTAATACCCAACCGGCTTTATATCGATCCAAAAAACCGTTCCATGACCGGTCGTTTCAGTGCCACACTCGAGTGTGGCACCAAAATTATCATGCGCATTAAAATCCCCGGGGTCGATTACCTACTATCCCGCCGGTTTTATTTCAGTCCCATTTGTCGTTTTCTTGTTATAGAAATACGACAAAATATCACACCCCCTTATGCGACAAAATGGCACCATTTAAAAAGGGTTAGACAAGCATATCGTACCTTAGAGTTCGAATTTTTTCGAAATTTTTTTTTATTCGACATCTACTAAATGCGGGTCAGGGCCCTCTAAGCGGAAGTTTTTCGCTATCTCTTCCGGTTCACGAGATAGCCAGGTCCCAGGGGTCGTTTCGGCGCGAAGGCGCCGGCGTAGGGAAAAATCAATAATTATTTCGGATGCGCCTCGTCAACAACCATGAACAATGTGCAAGTTTCAGGGAGGTACGACCAAAATTGGGACCGCTGAAGTTTTTTTTGTCTGAGTTTAAAAACTATTATATATATATATAACTAGTGATGGGTTTAACCACTGGGGTATATATCAGGACACTCTGGGTTTGGTATTCTCGGGGGGAGCCTTTGGAACCATACTTTTTGGTTTTGGAAAGCCTGACGGCTTTGGGGCGCGCTTCGCGCGCTGCTAGTGCTTTGGGGCGCGTCCAGGGACGCGCGTGGAAAGCCTGCGGCTTTAAAAGCACGCTAGATTTTCTTTTTTGCTTGGCGAATTACGTTACATATTAATAAATCCTTACTTTGCATTTTGGGGGCCTTCGGCCCCCCAAACCCTTTGTTTAGTCGGATTCTGTGCCATTTGGTAGCTGTGGTGGGTTGATTCGGGGCGTTTGGGGGCCTTCGGCCCCCCAAACCCACCGTTTAGGAGGATACTTTGCCTTTAGGTAGCTTTGGTGGGTTGACTCGGGACGTTTGGGGGGCCTTCGGCCCCCCAAACCCAGCGTTTAGTTGGATACTTTGCCTTTAAGTAGCTTTGGTGGGTTGACTCGGGGCGTTTGGAAGCCTTCGGCCCCCCAAACCCACCGTTTAGGAGGATACTTTGCCTTTAGGTAGCTTTGGTGGGTTGACTCGGGGCGTTTGGGGGGCCTTCGGCCCCCCAAACCCATCGTTTAGACGGATGCTTTGCCTTTTTGTAGCTGTGGTGGGTTGACTCGGGGCGTTTGGGGGGCCTTCGGCCCCCCAAACCCAGCGTTTAGTTGGATACTTTGCCTTTAAGTAGCTTTGGTGGGTTGACTCGGGGCGTTTGGGGGGCCTTCGGCCCCCCAAACCCAGCGTTTAGTTGGATACTTTGCCTTTAAGTAGTTTTGGTGGGTTGACTCGGGGCGTTTGGGGGGCCTTCGGCCCCCCAAACCCAGCGTTTAGAAGGTTACTGTGCCTTTTGGTAGCTGTGGTGGGTTGATTCGGGGCGTTTGGGGGGCCTTCGGCCCCCCAAACCCACCGTTTTAGTCTTCGGCTTCGGATTGGGGCCTTCGGCCCCCAAAATCCCCAATCCCGAAAACTCTGACACCCATAACTTGGTCAGACTCAAGTGACCCCCCAAACATATTCGTATTTTTCGATGGATTTGAGGCTGCTCTACAATATAACGTAAGTCTTTTAATTAATTACCACTCCTTTGGTACCCTACTGGGTATGGTACTGCCCACCCCCGAAATTTTGACCTTTTGTAACTTTGGACAAAATGGTCAGAAAATTTTCTAAAAAATATTTTTAGACTCAGGGCGATAAGGGCTTTCGAATGATATAACATTTGGCCCATTTATTCACATTTTGGAAAAAATATTTTTTTGGTCGAAAATTTTGGCCGAAAAAATCGACCAAATTTTCAAAAATTCATAACTTTCGTAAAGTTAACCTTTTTTGAACATTTTAAAGTCTTATTCTATGCAGAAAAATCTGCTCTATCCAGGAAAAATACATTCGGGTCGAACCGTCGGCAAAAATCCCGAATTTTTTTCGAAAAACCGAAAAATTTTTGGGTTTTCGAAATTCGACCCCCTCGTGCCCAATTTCGAATTTTTTCGTAATTTTTTCGGCTGTAAAAATTTCTAATTTTTAATACTATTTTTAGAAAGAAACCCCATCCAAATCCGATAATCCCACAAAAAGTTATGGCCCCCTAAAAAATCCCGAATTTTCCCCAAAAGGGGAAAATTCCCTTTTGGAAATAGGGGGTGGGACAAAATTTTCGAATTTTGACCTGAAATTCGACTTATATGGTACTCTGACATGCGCTGAGTACGAATCCGGCCTCGAAAAAATTTAAAAAAAATTCCCCGGGACGTTAGAGTCTCATAAAGTTTTCCGACATTTTGCCAATTTGGCTATAACTTTTTGAGACTCAAGTGTACCCTCAACATATAATACCTTTTTCTGACCGCCAGTGGACGCTCTTTCGAATGAGCTATCGAAATCCAGTTTCAATTCACTTTTCCAAAAATCGACTCAAGTCGGACTGACTCTTTGGACCATAACTCCCCCAAAAGTCAATCCCAGACTCAAGTGTACCCCAAGTGAAATGTCCTAAACTCTTATGCCTACAACATAACATTACTTCCAGAATCATTCCCCAGCGAGACTTTTTCAATATAAGCGTTTTCCCCACTCAGACTCAAATATCCCACCCCCAGACTCAAGTGACCCCCACAAAACAAACATCGGAAAATCCGCATTCTAATACCCTATAATACCCCCCAGGTCCCATCCAAATACACCTCTCCAAAAAAAAGTTACAGTCGAAAAACCATTTGAGTACGGGCCGGACATTTCAGTCTCACGGGGGTTTCGACCTTAAGACTTAACTTTTTCGACCCGAATTTTTTTCTATCAATATCTACTAATCGTGGGTCAATCGCCTCCCAGCAAGACCTTCCCCCCTTTCTATTGAACTTTTTCGAGATAGGAAATGACCCGATGCAGTTTGAGACTCAAGCGACCCCCCAAAAATTTTCTCTATAGTTTTCCTAGATGCGCCATAAAAAGTACCCCCCAAGACCCACAACTTTCAGGAGGCTCCCGGCCTTCGGCCGGGAGCAGGAATTTTTCAAAAACGAAACTCCTTGTTATTTTATATATTACTAACTAGTGGAGGCCTATCAGGTGCAGGCGGTAAATAGCTGGGAGGGTTTAGTTACAGTACTCTATATTAATTTATTTCTGCGCGTTGAAAGCCTTCGGCTTTGGGGGCTCGCTTCGCTCGCCGCTAGAAATTTTACTGTCTACATTTAATATTTCTCTTCTTTTTATTTTGTAATTTATTTGACGGTTTACAGATGATGGATAGAGACGCATAAACATGCCTTCTCTTCTTATACTTTGGATGTCAGCTCGGGCCTTCGGCCCTCGCTTCTCAAAATTTTTTGAACTTAAATTTTACTTCAAGTTTAAATGGATTATAAACCCTCGCTTATAAAAATTTTTTAAAAGCAAAACTTTGCTTCAAGTTTATTTGGATGTCAGCTCGGGCCTTCGGCCCTCGCTTCTCAAAATTTTTTGAACTTAAATTTTACTTTAAGTTTTAAGTGGATGTCAGCTCGGGCCTTCGGCCCTCGTTTCTAAAAAATTTCTTTGAAACAATTATTTTGCTTCAAGTTTATGTGGATGTCAGCTCGGGCCTTCGGCCCTCGCTTCTAAAAATTTCTTTGAAACAATTATTTTGCTTCAAGTTTATATGGATGTCAGCTCGGGCCTTCGGCCCTCGCTTCTCAAAATTTTTTAGAAGCAAAACATTGCTTCAAGTTTATGTGGATGTCAGCTCGGGCCTTCGGCCCTCGCTTCTCAAAATTTTTTAAAAGCAAAACTTTGCTTCAAGTTTTAAGTGGATGTCAGCTCGGGCCTTCGGCCCTCGCTCCTCAAAATTTTCAGAAGCAAAACTGTGCTTCAAGTTTTAAGTGGATGTCAGCTCGGGCCTTCGGCCCTCGCTTCTACTAAATTCTTTGAAACAAAATTTTGCTTCAAGTTTTAAGTAGATGACAGCTCGAGCCTTCGGCCCTCGCTTCTCAAAATTTTTTAGAAGCAAAACTTTGCTTCAAGTTTTAAGTGGATGTCAGCTCGGGCCTTTGGCCCTCGCTCCTCAAAATTTTTCATAAGCAAAACTTTGCTTCAAGTTTTAAGTGGATGTCAGCTCGGGCCTTCTGCCCTCGCTCCTCAAAATTTTCAGAAGCAAAACTTTGCTTCAAGTTTTAAGTGGATGTCAGCTCGGGCCTTCGGCCCTCGCTTCTCAAAATTTTTTGAAGTTAAATTTTACTTCAAGTTTTAAGTGGATGTCAGCTCGGGCCTTCGACCCTCGCTCCTCAAAATTTTTCGAAGCAAAACTTTGCTTCAAGTTTTAAGTGGATGTCAGCTCGGGCCTTCGGCCCTCGCTCCTCAAAATTTTCAGAAGCAAAACTGTGCTTCAAGTTTTAAGTGGATGTCAGCTCGGGCCTTCGGCCCTCGCTTCTAATAAAACGTTTTAAGTGGATGTCAGCTCGGGCCTTCGGCCCTCGCTTCTAATAAATTCTTTGAAACAAAATTTTGCTTCAAGTTTTAAGTGGATGTCAGCTCGGGCCTTCGGCCCTCGCTCCTCAAAATTTTTCAGAAGCAAAACTTTGCTTCAAGTTTTAAGTGGATGTCAGCTCGGGCCTTCGGCCCTCGCTCCTCAAAATTTTTCAGAAGCAAAACTTTGCTTCAAGTTTTAAGTGGATGTCAGCTCGGGCCTTCGGCCCTCGCTTCTCAAAATTTTTTAGAAGCAAAACTTTGCTTCAAGTTTTAAGTGGATGTCAGCTCGGGCCTTCGGCCCTCGCTTCTCAAAATTTTTCAGAAGCAAAACTTTGCTTCAAGTTTTAAGTGGATGTCAACTCGGGCCTTCGGCCCTCGCTCCTCAAAATTTTCAGAAGCAAAACTGTGCTTCAAGTTTTAAGTGGATGTCAGCTCGGGCCTTCGGCCCTCGCTTCTAATAAATTCTTTGAAACAAAATTTTGCTTCAAGT